TTCATCTCCCTAATTAGGAGTTTTGCTTCTATGACATAAAGAACTTTCTAACAGACAACCCATCTTATTTTTTTTTTTTTTTTTGAGACGGAGTTTCACTCATGTTACCCAGGCTGGAGTGCAATGGCAGGATCTCGACTCACCGCAACCTCCGCCTCCTGGGTTCAGGCAATTCTCCTGCCTCAGCCTCCTGAGTAGCTGGGATTACAGGCGCGCAGCACCATGCCCAGCTAATTTTTTGTATTTTTAGTAGAGACGGGGTTTCACCATGTTGACCAGGATGGTCTCGATCTCTTGACCTCGTGATGCACCCGCCTCGGCCTCCCAAAGTGCTGGGATTGCAGGCGTGAGCCACCGCGCCCGGCCAACCCATCTTATTTTTACCTGATGGCTCACTGGCACAGGAAGTTCTGATCAGTTGTGTTGTAAATCTAAGGAGCTGCTTTGGGTTTTGTTGTTGCTTCACTCTGAGTAGGTTTCGGGAAACAGCAGTCCTGAGAGGACAGAGGGAGTTACGGAGAGAAAAAAATGGGAGCAGGGCTTTGACCTGCCGGAGAGGAGCCCCTGCTGACACGGTCAGTCTGACCCATTGAATGGCCTGAATACGATAAATGCCGCTTTATCCTGCCTTGAAAGGCACGAGATAGCACAGTCTAAATGCCTGGGCATGCTTAAATAGGCGACTCGGGATGTTTGAGTTGAGCGTGTTTGAAATCTGAGCTCTCTGACAGCCTGGGAGCTGCCACAGGTCACCTGCCTTGCTCCGTAGGGACAGGCCCAGGTCTCACAAGAAATTGTCCGTAGACGAATTGTAGTACAAATTCCTTTCTTTGTTGGTTGGCCTCTTTCACTAGACCATGGCCTATAAAATTTTGTAAAAACAATTCTTAAATATTATTTGAAAGGGCAAATGGCCCACGCTGAAAGGCTTGACAGTTTGACATATAGTGCATGGTTTTGATAGCTCGGAAACTGAAAAGTGTGGCCAAGATTCTCCCCCTGCTTGTTAGAAGCCTGGTGTTTTTTAAATAGTGTCTTGTTGCTGTGCAGAGTTCCTCTGCTCCTCGAAATCTGACAGGCAATGAGTCTGCTCCAGTGATCTTAAATCCTTTCAGACTAATTTGTGAGAGAATAGCAAAATACTGTAGCTGGCACCTTTGAATCCAGCCTTCAAGAGGCACACAACCAGGTATCGCCAATTAAGGAGCCATTCGGATAATCATATCAAAGCAGATTGCTTTAGAGTCTTCTGATAATACCTGAGCCTGTGCCTAGAGAGAGAGGAATCCAGAGTTTCACTTCATTGAGGGGGAAAAAAGAGATTGGAGTGGCCGGGTCTCATCAGAGCCCAGGAAGTTGCAGGGAGTGGATTTCTGCATTAGAATGTTGCATATCTGCGGCCTGTGTGTGCTCTGCCCCAGCGGCTGCCTCTGCATAGCCAAAGGCCATTTTCAGGAGCTTCTGGCCCCTCAGTCACTGGCCTGCTAGTTAATTGCCACACGGACTTCATGACACATGGGCAGATAATATGACATTTTCAGTTTCTGTCACTAGCAAACGCCACAACGTTGCTTGCACTAGTTGCTAAGAAGCTGTCAGAAACCATTAGCGGTTGGCTAAAGTCGCCCTATGGCATTTCCTCATGGCATCAGCAAAACGAGCATAAATCACCCAGTGGAGCCTACTGCTGTCCTAATGAGGCTGTAAGCTTGTTTATGGACTAGCATGATTTTTATGATTATTTCCACCTTTTCAGTTTGCCTTCATTCGGCGGCAGGAGAAGTCAGCTCCAGGAATGAAGTCACTGCTGACATTTTACAAATGTGGTTCAGAGCTGCTGCCTGCTGCCGTGTGGTCGGCCGGCGGTTCTCCAAGTTTGTTTAGTGATCTTAAAAATAAAAAAGGAAATAAATTCTCGAGAGACCACATTGAGGTGACTATATCAAATTGCGGAGCGAATGGAAATGCTAAAGGTACAATTGACCGTTTAGACTTTTCTCTGAGGTTGAGACATTTCCAGATCAATTTTCAATTTTAGAAAGTGGAAGAGGTTAAACAATTTATTAAAATCTATGAAAGTGTTTGCTTTTAGAATAGTCTGTTTTTATTATGCTCGTCTCCTTCCCCATCTTCTCCATTTCCCGAACTTGTGTCGGGAAGGAGCAGGGTTTATTGTTTTAGGCTTTTCTGAACATGCACCAGTATTTACACTGGATTGAAAGCATTTGCTTCCAATGAAAATCTTGTCTTAGATTACAACCCAGCAGTGTAGTTTCCCTCCCAGATGGGAGTAAAGTAGCTGTATTTGCCTAAAAACAGTAGGAAGAACAAACTGTGCGTTAAGCCAAGGCTGTTTTTGGCTTGAGCTAATGATGTAATAGAAACCTTTTATTCAGGAGAGGTCACTGCCAGGGACTGAAGGGGGTGATCTGGCTCCTGCTTGAAAGGTTTTTCCATTGTATCTACATAAGTCTTCACTTAAAAAATTCTGTTCCTAATGCTTCTGCTTTCATACAGCAGAAATAAACAGGAAAGGTTCTGGTGAGTGTTACACATGGAATGCAGAAAGCCCTCCTCTCCTAATGGAGTATATAATTCAGGTGCCCTCAAGGCACGCTTTCAGGAATTCTTTTGCCTGAGGTAATGGGAAGCTAAGGTTGCTTTAAGGCCTTGATTATCTATTGATGCACAAAGCTGGAAAAAAGTCATCTCTGCTGGATTATAGTAGATATTTCCATAAATTATCAATGAATTCTCTTCTAGGCAGGCACTAGGCATTGCTTGCTAAATTAATCTGAAGGGGTTTGAGGTGGATAAAAAGGCTATTTTTTCTTAAAGGTGGAAAACAATCATGGGGAGGTGGTGAAAAACAGTATTGTTAGGTTATAAGCTTTTCATTTTTAATCAGTGATCAAGTCATATATGTCTTTTCCTTGGTTACCTTTTGCATATGGAAAGTGGATTAGCCCATTGAAAATTTAAATGCTGTTGAGTTGTTTTCTTTTCTCATGTTTCTTTAATGAATTGTTATTTTATATGGTAAATTGCTTCTCTGAATAAAAAGCCTGTTTAAATACTGGACTTTCAAAGAATTTATTAGGCAAATCCAAGGGGATGTCTCATAAAATACTTGGTTATGCAAATAGTTTGGTTGAGTGGAAGGAGTGCTGATTTACAGATGTGGGGGTCTGGTGCAGCACAGACCCCAGTAGTTCCATGCCAGGGTACATGACCTTGAACCAGTCAGGTAACATAGCGTTTTCTTCACTGATACAATGATGGCTTTGGAGTGGTGGGTTCTTATGATCTTTTCCGAGTGAATGCAAGCTGTGATTCTGTGAAACTTTTAACAAAATAGACGGATTTTAAATATAATAAAATTGTGGATTTTTAATGATGCAATGTTAGACTCAGAGAAGTTTTGCAAAAGTTTTGCATTTATAGCATATTCTGTAATAGTAGTAGAAATATTGGAATTAGTCTGTTCCTCACCCAACAACTTTCTAAACTTCAGCTCAGTATATGTCAAGGCAATTAAAAAAAATTGAGGGACATTTTTCTTTTTTTCTGATGAGAGAGAGGTGGGTCTGCTGAGGGAGCTGTTAAGAATAGTTGATTAGTTGCAGCATACCTACTATAGATTAGACAGAAATAATTGAAATTGAAATAGACTTTTTTTTTTTTTTTAGATTTTTTAATGTAGGACCTAATAACAGAAATGAGAAATATAGAAATTCATGAAGCCATGGAAATGAACCTGGGGCTATGTACAGGAAACTTGTCTTACCAAAGTATCAGATTCTTCGGGTCCTGTAGATGGCCCTCCAATGACTTATTTAAACCAGTAAATGTGCTCTTGAGTGTATTTTTTTAAACCTAATTTCTAAGCCTGTCCACTATAGCTCTTCCTTTTGGGCCCAGATCAACCTATTGGTTTCTAAGAGAATGGCAGACCAAGCTAAGCTACTTTTTAGTGTAGTGGGTCTTGTCCATTGTGGTTTTCCCTTTTGACTTTGATGCCAACACAAAAAATACCTACTTTCCATTTGTACCTTGTAACTTATTTTGGTCAGTGTGATTATATGGGTTAAATTTTTATTTTTCTTATTAAATATGGCATTATAAAAAAAGAAATAACTACCTTTTTAAATTTCATTGTGTCACAGAGCCAAAATATTTTCTACAAGAAACAGTGTAAATGTTATAAAAATAAATAGAAAAATAGGATCCAATATAGAGGAATATGATAGCAGGTGATTTTTCAGTGTGGAAAATTTAAATCTAGCACGAATTTTAGAAACTGCCTGAATTGTTAGTGTAATGTAATTCCAATTTACTGTTAATTTACCATTACCTTATTTGATTTACACAGTAATTGTTTTCTAATTAAGAAACTATGTCAGGGGTTTTTCCCTTACTAAACTTGATGCTTTCTTTCTATTAAAAGAAAAATTATATTTTATTTGAAGCATCCCTATATCAAACTGCTTATATGGTGGATTACCTACATTTCCCCATCCTAGTTTAACTAGTCTTAAGATAGATCGCGTGTGGAAATAGTTGATAGCTTAAATGCATCTTCTCACAAGTCAGTGTTAATGACTGTGGGATTCGCATGCCCAGGCAGCAATAGTGCCACTGCTAATGACTGCCACCATGTTTAACTCCCCAGTTGGAGTTACACTTAGCCTGTCTCAGCTATACATATTGAAATAATTACCATAGCAACAAAGCCACAAGGGGATTGGATATTTCCCTCCATTCCCTTTGACCTTTGGCAATGTTCTTTGGAAGAAGTTCTTTATATCTGACTACTCTTGAGCCTAGGCCTTGTTCTTTCTCTTTGTCTTGGAAAACAAAACAAAACAAAAAAACAGTACCAAAGAAACTATTAATCATTTAAATTTGCTCTTTTGGTTTTGTTTATATCCAAAGGCATTCTATTTGAATAAAGCATGTCAAGGTAGCATCAGTCAAAATTTGATTCACTATGTTTGCAGGTGATGGCTTGGACAACAGTGTAGCTTCCCCCAGCACAGGTGACGATGATGACCCTGATAAGGACAAAAAGCGTCACAAAAAGCGTGGCATCTTTCCCAAAGTAGCCACAAATATCATGAGGGCGTGGCTGTTCCAGCATCTAACAGTAAGTGGATTCTAAATGACATATGTAAACTAAATATGGACAATGAACCAGTTTTTATAGAAAAAAATGAGAAAAAAGTAATCCCTCTGGACTTGAAATATTTCATAAATCACTGTGTTCCCACAGTTTTCGCAAAAGTGTTAGCACTTATTTCTTAGCTACATACCCCACATGAAAAATTTTATTTAAAATTCACTATTGCGATTTTGTTAACTTTCATAAGTTAAAAGGTTTAGGTGTTCATGTGCACTTGTGATTTTAAGTATGTATGTTAATGATGTTGATTTACTAAGTGTGACCCTTAAGTGCTCAGAACCATCTCCTACTAAGAAGAAAGTAAGACAAACCCTAGAGAGAGACTTAATATCTTCTGATGCTTTAGTGGACATTTATAACAAATGGTCCACAAAAATTTAAATCATGTTGCAATGGCAAGATGATCACATAATTTGCTTTTAAATGGTTTGAATGCACTGGCTTCCCTTACAACACATTCATGTAAGTCAGAGCTCCACAGTGAAAGTTGTCCCTGTATTTAGAACTGTAAAGGAAAACAGCAATATAGAGTCAGCTCTTCCTGTGTAGTCCCTTGTGACTTTTCAAGCACCGTAACAGTTTATATTGTCTGTGCAAGTATTGCTGTTTTCACTGCAGGAATTCTCCTGGAGATGTGAGAATCTGGAGATTTGGGGCTTTATGCCACTGGGGGATTTGTTTTGTTTGGTTATTGTCCTGAATGAATTTCATGTTCAAAATATTTATAAGAATAATATTTTGGTGGATATCTTTGCAAGTGCACACTGATTTAAGGAAGAAGACACAAGGAAGATTTGTGGATAAAATAGTATTTTAAAAATCAACAAGACTGTTGACCAGGGGAATTTCAATATTAGAGACAAAGGATGAATTTAGACAGGTTGTAGCAAAGTTACGTAGATGACCAAATGTTAAAAACACTTGAGGGTTGTTTTTTACTATCAGGAGGAAATATTTTATGTTACTATTTTTATCTTGGCTTGCTTTCCTAAAGTCATTTATTCCTTAAATATTAAAGTTAATCCTGCATTGTCATAAACACATGCGGAGCCTGTTTACCTTCATATCCGGGCCCACTTTCAAAGCTATGTTCCTCAGTGAGTTTTACGGATACAGAGAGACAAACTCAGGGGATATCTGAAGGCCATGTTGGTTCTGCTCCTCTGGATAGAGGCTGTGCTTCTAATCATACTCAAGGGTATAAATTAATCCAGATTTTCCAGTGTCAGTGAATAAGATAAAAACTGAGAGCAGCTTAAAAAAAAAAGTTTCCTCTCTTCTCTTCTTCCCATCATAATTTCAAACAGTAACTAGACTACACTGAAAATTTTGGAGCAAACTTTAGGGCTTGGGCTATGCTGGAAATTAGTTGAAGATTTCGATTGTTTTAGCTGTTATGATTTTAACATCATATCAACTTTACCTAAATTCTGATTGAGGCACCACTACTTATCTGACACCTGTTACACGTGGATAGATGTTTTGAGATCTGACTCCTGCAAGTTTCCCATTGAAGATTATCAGTCACTAATGAACTGGGGGCAAAGAGGACTCAGGTCTTGAGGGCACATCATGAAAACGAATGATATGACATTTAGATAAGAAGTGGCAATTGGTCAAAGGTGTGTAGTACAATGATGCAGATGCAATGATGCTGATATTTTATCTCCAGAGCTAACCAGCTAACTTGCTCTGTGGAATGAGTTGGTGTGGTGGGATCAAATCAGGTTGGCCCTGAAGTCACAACCAAACAATTTCTATTTCCTAGACTAACAGAAACAGTGAATAGATTTCTTCAGCCCAATCTCAATCTGCAGAGGAGTTTTGGCTTTACTTGAAGCTGAGGTGCCCCTGAATAAAATATAATCAAATATTGGTTCAGACAGAATCAGGAGAGAGAGAAGCAAGTTATTTTATGCATCCACTAGTTTTCCTGTTTTCCTAGGTTGAACCCTTATGAAGACTTTTGTAGAGAGCTATATTATCTTGAAACAAACAAGCAAAACCAAAATAAACTTTCTAACAGCCCACATGATTTTACATGCATTGCCTTGCTTATATGGACTATGTGTTTGCTACTGGGGCAATTGTAATAGAAATTATTCATAAACTGCCTGATTTCTTGAGGCCTGGATAATAGTCTTCAGTTTTGAGGTCTTTGCTGGCCTGTGCCACTGCCCTGAAAGGGGAAGCCCATTCATCCATGTTTTCCTGGCTTTCTATGAATGTTTATAGGTGTTGCCTTGTGGTTTCCATTGAGTATTTCTATCCCCCTTACCTACTCCAATGCCATCTGCTCATATGGAAATATTGATTAATGATAATGGTCTGTAAATATCTAATTGCTCTTATAACATCATCTGAAGAGCAAAGTTAGGACATACGTTTAAAATTTTCATCTTTTCCTTCCCCCAGTGAAAAAGATTCCTTCCCTCTTCTCTAATTGCAAGAGCAAATAGACCTCCAGTAATAAGGAACACCCATTACCCTTGTTTTGTATCCTTCTTGAAGGAATGCATGGACTGCTTAGGTAATATTTATAGTAAAGAGCTAATTCTAATAAATTCTATGAAAACTCCTGTAGAATCTAAAGAGAGTTTTGTTGTTGTTTGTCTAAATGTAAGTAACTACTGACATCTTGGTACTAATTCTTTGGTAACTTTATTTCAAGTTCTGAGAGGTCTTCAGGGATGCACAAGTCATTAGGAATTATCTGTACAAATTTTAAATGATCACATAATTGCTATATGATAAATGCAACTTATCTAGAAAATCCTTCCTGAAATCTTGCTAGATATAAAAGAACCATTGAAATTCTGGCTAATTAAAACAATAGGAATACCAATTTATTAGTAAATTATAAACTAATCTTTTTTTTTTAATGCCAAAAGGCATATTTGAAAACCTCCCATACCTTTTAAAAGCAAATTCCTATTTCTTTTTAAAATAAATGGCTCAACCCTTTCATTGGGTTTATTCAGTGAAAAAAATCTGCCCTTGAGAGAGCTTTAAAGCATTTCTGTGTTAGAGGAGTAGAATAGGCCCTGAATTAAAAAAAAAAAGAAAAAAAGAAAAAAACCTTTCTGAATTTGCACCCCAGCTGCATGAGAAGAAAAATGTGCCAGTCTGTAGTTATCCACAGGTAGATTTAATCAGTAGCACATTTTACTACTCCAAAGAGAGAACTAAAGCCTCATTCTTGGACTCATGGTCTCTAGCAAGCTAAACTGGACATACTTGTATATAATGAAAACAATAAAAGAAAAAGGAAACGAGTTTTAAACTTTGGTGATTATGGGATAAGAGGAAATTTCAGTGAAGTAGATTCCCACCTTAGACTTAGTTGAGCGTTTGCCAGAGTTTGTAAGTAGAGAGGGTCTCTTAAAAGAAACTATTCCCTGGAATTGAAAAGAATGACTGACAGGATTTAAATAATAAGAGAGAATTACAAAGAAAATAAAGACATTTATTAATAAGAATACTTACATTTGCCTGAAGATAAATTATTGCAAACAATTAAAATGTGCTTAATATTTGCATATGAGTCACTGTATTCACAATCAGTTCAGGGGCATATGTCATATCAAAGTTTCTTTTTCCTTCTTGAAGGCATTATTCCAACTGTAAACATAGCCTGTGATGTCATAGTGCTTAGGCTGGATGTGTTTTGCATATCATCAGTTCTTTTGCTACATAGTATTATAAAGATGTGTGTCCAAGGGCTTAGTGAAAATGAGGAAAAGGAGTAAATGCCATGTTTAAGGTAAAAATCAAGGTTTTTTTTTCTTTTTTGTTTCCCTACCGTATCATATTGCAGTCTAATCTAAATAGAAAAATGGTTAATGTGGTTCTTATTTAAAATATTCAGTGACTATATTTTTTCTGCATGGAGCTTCTGTGCCTCCAGGAACACCGAAAGTTAGGGAGAAGAGAGGTAGTCAGAAAGCATACCTGCAGATTCAGGTGAAGAAAGCATTCACAGGTCAATATCCAGCATTGACCAGTCGGGGTGGCGATCCTGACGGTGAAATGATTTTCATTCACGCTCTCTCCTACTCCCCATTCTTTCACCATCCTGAGGATCCCATTTGGCTAAGCCTTACTGTAGATACAAACTTTGCTTCTAAGTTAGACACACTTATGTGCCAAGTTTTCTTGTTCGATTTTCTTTCTTCTTTGTTTCTTTGTGTGTGTGTGTGTGTGTGTGTGTGTGTGTGCGCGCACTTCTAGCCTGCACAGTTTTTGCGTGTGTGTGGCCAAATATATGTCTTGATTTCTGATTTATAAGACTTTCCTCTCATTGTGGATAAAGCCAATGTGAGAGGTTGTAGAATCTTCCAGGTTGAGAATAGCGTTTCCATAGAAACACTATTAGATGAAAAGTGCCCTGCGGGTCCGCCACTCTAAGGACGGAGTAAATGGAATTGAATTGGGAATTGAATGCTCTAGAAGAGACAGATGTTGTTTCATCGGTTTCGCTTTTAGTAACAAGATCTGTTGGAGTCATCTTAGTGTCATATCTCTCCTTGCCATTTTGGAAGAATTATTCTCTAAACATTATGAATTATTACAATGAAAAAGTACACCTAATTGGTATCTGGATAATCCTTTCCATTGATTGAAGTTAGCAAAAAGTTGAAAGGCAGATAGAAGAACTCATAGGTAGGCACATGGGCAGGTAGCAGACGAAATTTTCTCCTCTCCTTCCATTTCTATTTCTCTTTCTATTGCCTACCTCTGTATGCTGCCAATTTTAACAGTGAATATTCCTTTTAAGCCCCACCAGCCAACATCCTTCAACAAAGATGTAGGGGGAGTCCTGAGAAGGTGGTGGGGCAGGGCAACTGTATTCTCACATTCATCCTGAACTGTTCATCAGGGTAATACAAAGTATTTGAGAAAGGCAGTTTCTTCTTCAAACTAATCCTAATCTACCTTAATTATCATGTGTCTGAGCCAAGGGA